ATATAATACTATTATACCTACCTAGCTTTATTATTAATTATATATAATAATTCTAAAGCTAAGGCTAAGAGTCTAGGCAGTAACTGCAGAGTAGAAAGGTGGACAGCAGATACTGCGCTGAATGCTTTATGACTTCTTTTCGACGACACAGGGCATGCCACTGACGCTTGGCTCATGGTATTGATCGAAGATTGCCTGGTGGATGATCCAGAGAAAAGACTCGCTCAACTTGAGATGCTTCGAGAGCATGAAGTGGAAGTTCTGATCCGCCACGAAACAGCTACAGCTCATATGAAAGTACTGTACCAATGCAAGAGTCGGGAAAAAAGACAGAGGGAAACGGAGCCACGCTTCAAGGCTGCGGCCAAGGCCTTGACGATTACTTGGGAAGAGCACATCGAGCCTCTGGGTCCCCAGAACGCCGTTACTTTGACCTCATTGAGGTGTGTGTCGTGCCAACAAGGACTATCGTTACTCAGACCTCCAGGCGGAAACACATGGTCAGGTACGTAGAAACTACGTTAAAGAAAGTCCTTAAGCTATAGACGAGCTTCTGAGGCTAAAAGGAGGCCAAAAAGAACAAGAGAGTATGACGGTGTAGGATAGAAAGTGAGTGGGTGGACGGAGAGCTAGACGGCGAGGCCAGTATTACTTTATCAGTGACACTAGAACAGACCGTCGGGAAGTGGTGACGTGAATAATCATAGAAATACACATCGAGAGACTGTAAGTGATAAACCTGTCAATTGATGCCCTAATGTTGACCAGAGTAAGACCATACTGTGTCAGCACTTCGAAGATCAAAGTAAGACGCTATTTCCCTTAATCGTGCCTGCGAGTCTTGAGCATCAAATATATTAAGAAGATCAACAATCTTCTTGACTCTATCGTCGTTGCTTTTGGCTCCGATGAACTTCTCGTAATCCCTTTCAAATACATCTGTTTCGGACGGTGGCACATGATCGGCTTCATCAACTCCTAAAGCCTTATACGAATTACGTACTTCTTCGAAGAGTTGCCATTATCAAGGGTAGGAAAAGTTGTCTCTGGGGACTCGGCTGCCCTTGAATGTTATAACGCGATCGGTACTCACGCCAACCATAGCGATATGGCTAAAATCAGCTCTGTGTGTGACAACGGGTTCAAGAGAGTACTTGGAGAGCTTGTCAGCTGGGAAACACATATTAGTAGTTCACATGCCAAACAAACAAGTCCACCGATTGGAAGAAGTTCGAGTAGGAAAGGTGCCCTACTCGTCTATCAATAACTTTGGCCTAGGCGATCCGATCAATACTCACGGGGGGCACTGTCAACAAAAGTAGCGGTAATGGTAGTCACTTCCTCGGGACCATTTGGACAAGGAGGCTTGTAGGAGAATGTGTATGGACATGTTTAGCTAGAGGTCAATTACCTGGCTTTGAAGAAGTAATGGCCTTTCTGTGTGAGTGTTGTTACTTTGAGCTCATCTTGAGTCTATGAATCGTCTTATCATTTTCCGCTTGAGGAGCCTGGCAATGAATGCGCATATGCATGGTCTTAACACAGTGCCTTAATTGACTGGCTTAACTACTAGCTATTCACACCAAGCCCGATCTTCTCAAAGAACGCAGTGCTAAAGCCATGGTCTGCGAGTTAGTTCTAGATAAACGACGACTTCGCACTATTGGCTAGGGTATTACGACATGAACTGCTGATACTTTAACATATATATATACACTCTCTAAAGAAGAAGTTAAAGAAATAATGTAGTGGCTACAGAGTAGAAGCCCTGCGGATTTAAGCCTTGACCGGGGAAGCGGATGTCAGATGCTAGTTAGTGGAGTAGCAGAGTCCAAGCTTGGATGCTCCTCCTGCCCGACGAATTCCCTGCCACGATGCGTCGTCTAACTTTTTGTCACTCCACTAATTCCACCATTAGATCGCATGAACAGCCATCTCATAATAAACTCACACTCATCGCAGGCTCTCACCAAAGAACTTCTTATCGCTTAAAGCAGAGTCAGCGTCAGATGGGAATATGAAGCGAAGTCATTACGCCTGTGACCAATGTCGGAGGTCCAAACGAGCTTGTGATGCACCACCTCTTCTTGGCCCTGCATCTTCAAGATGCAGCAGCAGTTCCATGACAGTTGGAGAGCGGCTCGGTAAGTCAACCGGCGCGACTGAGCCGCTCCCTTGAGCCTCTGATGAGCTGGGCTAATTGTAGTTAATTGAGGTAGCCTCTGGGACTTGCCATGAGCCTTGCTCTTATTGTACCAAGACAAGGAAGACGTGTACTATGAACTGGGCTTGGTCGCAAATACAGGCAGCGACTTCATTAGATGCTTCAGGCCATGGACCGAATGTTCCGGTCAAGAGACAAAGGAGTGAAGCGACTCATACACCACACCAGGCAACACCAGCTTTTGAGAACCAAGATCCTATATCTGCGGCTTCACGCGTCAATGGCTCATCACGGCCACAGTCTCATGATCCAAATCGACTCACTCAGGGCGCGCGCTTACCCAACCACCAAAGAGCAGCTCAACAACCAACCTCAAGCTCAAACCACGGCACAGCATTTCAAACACCTCTCACTCATAATAATACATCAAGTCTCAGTAATTACAACACCATAACTGGCCAATTCTCGCCCAGTTACCCTCAAACCACTTATTCACAACCGAATGACTCACGTCTCTCAATCCAGTCACAGCTCAATGCTTGGTCAACTACTCCCCCATCGAACTCATCAAGATCTTACAGTCACTTGTCTACACCGTCAATTGGAGAGGACACCGCCAGTGAGGATGATGCGACAAGGTTCAAGCGTCGGCGCACATCGCCAATCTGGACTGACCGTCGCAAGAACTCATTATCGCCATTCTCAGTTGACCAGACAATGATGACGAGAACCAACAACCAATTCATATCTACAAATCTCCTACAAATATACCATGACGTTCTCGAACACAACCTTTCATGCTGGCTCACAGAGGTCACATGCCCCTACAGAGCTCCAGGTTATGTCACATCGGGGAGCTATGCCCCTACAGAATGGGGATCCTCATGGTCAAACCGCATATATCGTCGCACCATCAACCTCGACCATGCAATTCAGACAGCCAAACTCACTCGGCTAACGCGGACCGAAGACCAAGGCGCCACTAAGGCATTTCACCTTGCTATTATGGCATTTGCAACGCAATGGGCTCAAGGCAGCCGACGCCAACAACAGCGCTACTCTGATGAGGATGAGAGGCCAGAGGATATTCTCAACGATATCAATGAGGAGTTTGATCGAAACATTCAACGGAATATCTGGGAACAAGCAAAAAGAGCCCTGCAAGAAGTTTCAGACGTCGAATCATATCGTGTGGCGACCGCGGAGCTAATACTCGGTCTAACGCAAAAGCCATGGACCCGTGATGATGAGTCAATGGCCCCAAAGAACCCCAGTACATTAATCAGTGCTTCTCCAAAGGTTGACTTAAAGGCCCTGAACGCTGAGCTGGGCGAAATCATATCACGGGATGGCCTCCCGGTCTTTATGGAGAGAGCCGCACGAAAGATGCATGCTCTCAAGTTCCGATTCGATTCGGGCCGCCGTGGTGTCACTGGACCTCTAACCAGCCCAAAGAACAACGATCTGTTGTCCATGATGAACCCTGAAGATCGTGGCACAGTTGGACTGCTGTACTGGCTTGCAGTTATGCTTGATACTGTTTCATCGTCTATGAGCGAGCGTCCGGTTGTTGTTGCTGATGCAGACAGTCAGCATGACGATGCAGATGAAGACCTTGACTCAACGACAAACGGAAGGTGGAACGTACCTTTGTTCATTCAAGACAGTCTAGAGCAACCTCACATGTATCATACAGTACACTGGCCTTGCTCTTATGAATCAGCAGCTGAAGCCGTCACTAAATCCGCACCCGTCAAGGTCCTCCTCTTCCGGCATGTCTCTTATCTGCAAAACATTCTAAGAAGAGGTGGTCGCGGTGAGAAAGTCGAAGAAACAATTAAAAACACAACCTCGCTATATCGATATTGGAATATGACACACGGCGCGTTCTTCAAGGAGCTCCTTCACGACTATGAATCAGTGCCAGCTCGTCTTCAGAGCTGGTTTGTCTGTATCTCAGCACATTGGAACCTCGGTGCTCTCATGCTCGCTGATCTTATAGAGTATGTCGATGAAAACGAGCTAGGAGAAGCAACAGCGTCTCAAGGCAGATTAGCGAGCAAGATGGTCACAAGAATACGTGAAGCGAGTGCACGAGAACTATCCGATCTGGCAAAAGTATCAACGCCAAGTCACAACCTACCAAACATGACAGGGCCTCAGATGTCACATTTCCACCATGCAGTAAACGAAGCAACTATTCTGACAGAGCCTTGGACTATCATCCTCATCAGGGCGTTTGCCAAGGCGGCTATGATACTAATACACGAAGCGAACGATTTCCTGGAGTTTGGGCTGACTACACCAGCGAACACAGGTCATGACTTTCAGGAGAGTATGCGTCGTGCACAAGATTGTGTTAAGGGGTTGTGGATATTAGGCAAGAAGTCTGATATGGCGAGGAGGTCTGCAGATACCCTGGTTTCAGCGATGAAGAAGTTGAAAGTGTAATGATGTTATATAGACATACATGACATCCGAGAACTTCACAAAAACACTTGGACAATATTTGTTTTGCTTTTTTTGTTTTCGTGTTAGCCTATGCCTGCTTTGATGGATGCGTATCATCGCCAGGTTCAGTTCGCTTTCGTGTAGCCAAGACCAGTGACTACCACTTAGTAACTTAGGCATACGAGCAATCATCGCACCGCTGATGCCCACAGTCGGGACAAGTCCGATTCATAAGTATTCTCTGCGGTCCGTAATTGCAGTTGCAGCATACCCACTGGCTAATTCCTCTCCTACTTCCTCCTGCATAACTGCTTATGTCTAGTGAGCGATTGTCGAGCGAGTCTTCAGAGGTATCAGATTGTCCGCCCAGCTCTGGAAGCTCCTCCTTCTCAGCCTGCTCTTGCACCGCAATGTCGCTTGTTTCGAGGGCTGTGTCTTGAGTGGATGGTTGTCCTCCTTCGTATATACTTCGTTCGATTCCTCCTTCTACCGTATTCTGTGGTATTGCAAAGAGGGCCAACGCTCTTTGATGCCTGCCAACATGGCTTTGATATGTTTCTATGTCCTGTAAAGGCTTCTTACACAGAGGACATGTTGTCTTAACAGGAACCTCTGTTTTGTCCACGGTACTGAGCTGTACTAAATCCTCGATCTCAGAAATATGCTTTTGATCAATGTGCTTTCGACATAGATGCTCTCTGCATCCATTTCTTGAAGTGAATCTCAGGTTACATCCGAAAGGACAAGCATAGATTCTCCAATGTTCATCGAGCACGTGGATTATCCAATCCCTTTGGCGAGCATATTGATGTTGAGGTTTGGAACAGTTGGCTTCCAGGCAGATGTATGGTCGCAGATCACTGTAAACATGTGTTCTTGGAATAGTCAGCTCATATCTGCATAAGGGATGTATCCAAAGTCGCTTACTTCCAATCTTTCGTTGAAGATGCTCTTACCATCTGCCGACATAAAGGGCATCGGAATGGTCTCCCATCCGTGGCTCTCTGGGGCAAGGGAGGAATTTGGTGGGCTCCCAATTCTTCAGGGGCTATGGATGATGTTTCAGAAGAATCCTCATCCAAGATTCCCTTCTGCTCGCTTCCCTGGTAGGTCAAGTCTTCTAGATCAAGCTGACTGGTGAGAGCCTCCAGTGTTGGCTCATCTGCTAGTGGGCCTTTTGAGTTGTGAGTGCTCTGCTCCGTCGATTCCTGATCCTGAAATAGCTTTCGCCTGGCTGAGATGGCCTTCCCAAGACGCTTTGCTATTACCTCGTCCACCCCGGGGTACTTCCAGAGAACGTGCTGAACATCAAAGGGCTCAGATGGGGGTGTCTCATCCGTGGTTCTGATATCAGCCAATGGTTCTCTCAATGCTGTACCAAGATACGAGAGATTGTCAATAGCATCAGCCACATGGGCCATAATCTGCTCCATCTCTGTCTCTGGAGATTTTCCTAGTGATGCCGTCTCATCATCTGATTGTGAATCCTCTTCGTCGTCAACCTGATCCCAAGGTATTTGATCCCCGACTGTGATTGCATGGGCATCTTCCAGTAATCTCCTGATATGGCTCAGAAGCCGGATAACTTGGAGCTTGACACGTTTATTATTATGTAATTGTTGCTCAAGTGAATCTGCTCCGGAATTTCTCTTCCATCGAGTGAATTGACTCTGCAAGTTCTTGACTCTGACATATTCATCATATTCAGTAGTATCAGCGGTAGTTAGGTATCTGAATTGTTCTTCTAGGCGTTCAAACTCTTTGCCACAGTCTTCTGCGAGTTGGTCAATGTTGTTAGACATTTTGGGGACTTACCGCCATAGAAGCTTTCGTGTTGTAGAGACATGAGTCCATGCTGACAAGTGGGAGAGACTCGGGCTCAAGCGCTTCTACACTGCCAATGTGCAAATATGCCACCTCGCAATATGCATGCACATTGCTATTGGACTCTCGACCCCTCATTTGTACCCAACTCGTTCATACCCAAAGAACCATCTCTAGCCTCTAAAGTTCTCTTCAAAATATAAGGTCAACACACAGATCAAACGCTCTCGACCGGAATCATGTCTGGGCTTGAAATAGCAGGCCTTATTCTGGGGGCAATGCCAGTTGCCATTGAGGCACTCAAGTCAGGGAGCCAAGGAATAGCGATACTCCGACGAAGCCGCAGGTACGAGAATGAACTGGAGAGGCTGGTTAATAAGCTCGAGAATGAACGCGTGAGGCTTCAAGACGTGTCTGAGAAAGTTCTTATAGATCTTGTGCCTCACTCGCGAATAGAGGAGCTGATCCAAAATCCTGATGGCATGTTCAACGATGACCCCGAACTTAGAGCCAAACTTCGAAGGCGATTGTGGAAAGGTTTTGATCTCTTCGATCAGACCTTGAAAGATATCAATGTCACCATGAACGAGGCCATAAACCGTATTAGTGTCCAGATCCAAGATGAGTCCAACATCAGAAGATCACTTCGACACTCGTTCCTTGACGACTTATTATCTCGGATCAATGAAGGGGTTTCGATTCTCGAGCAGCTCGTGGACAGGAGCATACAACTCGAGCCGGATAGGAACAGCCGTTTCCAGGGCAAATTCCTATGTTTCGTACGCAATTTAGCATGCCAGCTCTCTTGTGCGTTACAAGCCAGCTTTCATTGCACTTGCGGACACCAAATCTGTTTACAGCTCGAGAGACGATCCCCAGACATGGTCCCTGGCGATACAGGAGATGATGCTGTCAAATACATCGGGTTTCACCTTGCTCTCTCGTATAAAGGGCCTTCTACAAAGCCTGGCATTATCTCGGGTCGGGTTACGATGTGGTCAGAGGTGTTTGCCAAACCGAGCCCGCTATCTCCTCCAGAAGCCTTGGCTATTACTATTCAGCCAAAGCTAAAAGATCACCTGAAGGCTTCTAAGGGAAACAACAGTCCAATCTACAGCCAATACCTTGCTTCACCCATGAATGGCTCGGCCAAGCTCCAGGCCGACTCTGTCGAGCTTAAGTCAGTGGTCAACCACCCGCAACGTTCTACTAGAACCGTGGATCTATGTCAGAGTATCACACGGCCCATTGAACCTGGCACCAAGACATCATATGGTATGATCTTCGATGCATCAACCCCAGAAACGTATACATACCATGTATCCTCAGTCATCCTCAGCAAATACCGAACACAGTGTGGTAGGACTGTAACATCCTTGAAGGAAGTTATCGGCCAGAACCGGCGATACATGATTCTCTCAGAACAAGACAGACTCAAACTAGCCGCGGTTATATCTTCGAATCTTCTTCAACTTCATGGAAGTCCATGGATGCCGAAAGTCATCCGCAGCCAAGATATCTACTTGATCCAAAGCGATAATGACCCCATTTGCGATCGCTTTTTTGTCAAGCAGACTCTGCCAAACAAAGCCGGTCCTTTTATCGAAAATAACACGGAGTTGAGTTCCATGAGGAACCAGGCATTGTTTTATCTGGGTGTACTTTTGATCGAGTTGGCCTTTGGCAAATCATTTGAGCTGCTGCGAAGTGAACGGGACAGGTCAAGTACCGGTTCTCAATTCTTCACAGACTACAGAACCGCGAAACGTTTGGTAGATCAAGTCAAGAGCTTCATAGGGCCAAGTTACGGAAGTGCAGTGTCAAGGTGTATTGATGGAGAGTTCCACGGACGAGGAGTAGGTCTTGAAGATCAAGATCTTTCTCACGATGTATACGCTGGAGTCGTGGCGCTGCTGGAGAAGGAATTGGAAGGCTGACAACTATCTCATAAAGTCAAAGACTATGTAAACAAGATTGAGCACCTGTAGTCAGCATGTTCATCTGAAGCAAATTGAAGGTGGCTGTACAGGGTAGGGTAATTGGTATGTATGAGAGATGAGAGTGACCAGCTCGATACTTGACAAAAACAAGGCACATACTCTCAAATGCATAAAAAAGTTGTGAATGACGAATCAAGACTGAGTCAGTCTCTGTCTCTGGCTGAGCTGAGAAAGTGAGCAATGTCTCGAGTTTCTTTGACTGATCGACCAGGATGAGCCCCCTTGACCCATAATTGCTTTTTCCTACCTTCGATCAAGGTCAACAACACATCCTTGTGGTAAATCTCGCACGAGTCTCAGATCCTGCACTCGTTGAATCAATTACTCACCTCAACTGACACGATACATCTCACTTTTTTGCTTCTACAGGTATTCTACAGGGGTTGTCCTCGGCCGAACACTCGGCATGTCTCCTCTCTCTCTGTCTCTGTCACTGTCTCTATGCAGATCTCTCGCCCTTGTTCACCTGGTCCTCCTAATCTGCCTAGCACGACCATATCATGGAAACCCGTATCCACGGAACTGGCTGAGTGATAGTGATAGCTGAGACACAGGCTAACTATCATAATGACAACTGATCAAGGGGGTATATCCCGACATTCAGGTCGTCAACTGAGACTGCATCTGTGGATCCCTCCCTTCTGCCGACGAGAACTATCTAGCCTCATGTTTCTTCTACCGTACTCTCAGTGAAAAAAGAAACCTCCTACACTACTTGAGAGTACGAATGTTTCGGGCCAAGATAAAAGTAAAGGCTTGGAAGGAGTTGAGGCGAGGTTTGAGAAAAGAAGCCACTCAACCCTTTTGGCGCCGGACCCGTCCACTGCTAAGCCTTGCTAATACCCTCTCAGGCATGCTCGTGCCCATGTCGAGCTGAAGTTGAAGGCTATCTCCAAGACTAGGGATCTTTTTGTGACGCTGATGACAAGTTGACATGCCGATACTCACGACATCCCCAAAAGCAAAGAGGCATCCCACCGATCAGCTATCACATATCGTCCTCATCACAGTCGGTATGGGATAGTTCTCTGATTGACGATCAAATGACGATTAACCCATGGCAACTTGGGAATTCCTGTGAAACTTGATCACTGACATAGTCACTGCAGAGATAGTTACAAGCCTTGTAGACTCCTGCATCGCTCAAGTTGCTGGCAGACACATGCAAGAGTTCTCTCCACGTAACAACAACGTTCCATCCCTTGCTCATCTCATGTATGTTTCCAGAAAGACAGTATTTGAATCAAAGACAAGATCTTCCCATTCCTTAACGCCAGTTCGTCAAGCCCTGGCGCGTGGCAAACAGAGGCCGAAAAGCGACGGGTCTCAGAACGTCTCCCCAACTGTCTTGAGATCCCCTTTACTGACAATCTCAGCACAGTATTGCTCGATAATCACTTTCACATAGTTTCTTCTCAAACTGTAAGCTTGGCATGAGCACAGTAGATACAGCTTAGTTCCTCTCGCGGGATCACGGTCCGTCGCCGAACATCAAGCTCTTGTCTCACTCCACTGACCACTGACGACCTGGGGGAGCTTCCGATAGGGCGGAGCCAGTAAGCGACAAGTGAAAAGGGATGCAAGTAATATAGGTCGTATAATTCCACCACCCATTGCTACAGAAGGGAACAAGTAACAGCTATTCGTTGGTATGCAGGAGCTCAAGCAACCCGATATTGCTCCACCAGGACCATGATGACGAGGACTTGGCTAGTGATGCCAGACAAAAAGCATCTACTGAAACTAGACCACGGGTCAACAAGTTACCGTCGTAGAAAGGCTTCAACCCTCGTTGCTTTTTCCTCTGTTCCAAAAGCAAAGTAATACAAGCTCCTCTCAAATGCGTCATCACGGCACGAATCATCAGCTGCAGACCATTAGCTCCAGACCACAATATGAGACAAAGTATGTCTACAAACCTCGGCATATAGCTTCCTTAGCCAATTGAACGGCAACACCACCTCGAGCTGCGAGCTGCGCAGCAGCTTCGATAGTCTTGTCCAATACTTGCCCATCCTTAAACATGTCGCAGACCAGCCCACAAGACAAAGCTTCTTCACTCGAGATCGGCGTTCCAAGCAGGATGGCTTTCATGGCCTGAGTTGAGTTAGTGGACAAAGTCAGTCTCGGCGCCTCATCTCGAGCACGTGTATCATAAAGCTTACTCTGAACTTGCCCAAGGCAGACGTGAGCCGTTGAGTGCCTCCCGCTCCGGGGATGAGACCGAGATTCACCTCGGGGAGCACAAACTTTGCACGTGGCGATGCATAGATCAAGTCACACTGGTGCATGTTAGTTACTGCTATTGGTCGTTGTGTGGGAGTCTCACCATCATGGCAAGCTCAAAACCACCTCCAAGCTATCACGAGTTGTCAGTTGTAGGCACTATCATAAAGTGTTGAAGGGATCATACTGCAGGGCCATCTACTGCTGCTAGAACAGGCTTCCTCACAGCAGCCATACCATGGCACAGATCTTCCAGGTAACGACAAGATCTGGCTGCTTCTGCATCCATCGTCGATATCTCCTTGATATCGGCACCGGCTGTCAAGCAGATCAACAAACTGCCAAGAAAACGTGGTTCGGAACTTAACTCACCCGAGAAGCAAGAGCCGCGTCCAGTTACGACAATGACTTGAGTCTTTGAGTCAGCCGACATTCGAGAGAGAGCTCCAAGAAACTCAGTGATCATGACTTTTGAGAGTGCATTGCGCTTCTCTGGGCGGTTGAGTGTGATCACTGACACCCCTGGTGCGTGCGCGGGAGAGTCAACAATGATGAGACTGGCATCTGACATGATGAATGATGACGTTGGGACTTGAAAGAAGAGATGATCAGATGGAGATTAGAGCTGTAAGCTGGTTGATAGTGTCAGGAAGTGACAGACAGGTCTTCAACCCTGATTAGTTGGGTATCTTTTATGCCAAAAGGACGCGCCATCAACTCCTCAAGTTGAGTCGTGTTGGCAGCTCAATCATCAAAGACACTCTTGGCACAACCAAAAAGCCACAGGCCATGTATATCTTCACGGCATCTTCACACGCCCCGAATTGCAGGGCGGGAATGGATCTCCAAGACATGTCCGTCATAATCGTTAGCCCTGGACAAGGGTTCACTACCACTTAAGATTGACTGACAGGTTCCGGTTTCCAGGGTGTGGTCGAGTGTACCGCGACTAAGATCCAGCCCATCGGAATCAGGCAAGGTAGTATTGAAGGAATACCCCAGAAGCCGGTTCCTCGATGTGAAAAGCGATTTATCGGTACCTGAATTGCGGACCCTTGTCCGGATCCCCCCTTGGCGTCCACATGTCTCATCGCCCGTCACATTCCTCTCTTGGCCGGGCTGCCCCGTCCCACATTCTTCCGTACCCCGGGGCCGGCTCCGTATAACCAAGACCCCCGGGCGGGTGTGAGAGGAATGCAGAAGCAATTATGACAATCTGGTTCCGCCGTCCCCTCCGTGGGCGTGAGTTCGAACCCAAGTTGCTGTGGAAATCAGGGCAACCTCCATATCTCGCGACGACGTCAAACCCCCCCATGGGGATATGTCAAGGGACGATTGATTGACCAAAGACCGATAGTGATGAGTATGGACATCTCAGAAGACAAAAATGAAACATCCTTTCCAGGGCGGGTGCTACCTTTGCCACGCCGTTGAAACTATATAAGCCCGTCCGTTGTTATCTAAGGGTCAACTCAACGGTCAACAACAGACACCAACAATCCCCATTGTCTCTTCCTACCTTATTTCACTCTCTAAGGTGCCCTCTTCACAATGGTCGTCATCAGCCCGCTGCAGGGACATTCCCTGCACGAGTCAGCTCTCCAGCTTGGCCAAGGAGACTGTGTCGAGCCTCCATTTCCAACAGTCACTTCAGCATTCTATTACCATGCAACAACTTCCCCAGATACTATAGCCCTTCGTGATCTCTCGGGATCACTGAAAGAGCTAACATATGGGCAACTTGCAAAACGAGCCCAAGAGTTAGCTGCACAGCTCATTGCTCAAGGTGTCTGTCCTGACTCGCGGGTCCCCCTTGTTGCTAAAAGGGGACTGGACATGATCATTGGTATATGGGCAATCCTTTCATGCGGAGCTCAATATGTTCCTCTCGATGGAGGTGTCGTTCCTGATAAAACTATTCGTCGAGTTCTTGAGCAGGCCGGCGGTGGCGTCGTCCTTTGTCTGACTTCAACAAAGCACCGAGTCACCTCCCAACATCCCAACCAGACTGTGGTTGTTATTGACGAAACAAAAACAAGCCCTGTCGAAGAAGACATTCATATCGATCTCGCAACTCCAGATTCCGGCTGTTACGTGATATATACATCAGGTAAGTCAACGCAGAGCTCAATGTCTCAGAGTGCACTTCTCACAGGGAGATAGGAACAACAGGAGAGCCGAAGGGCGTCGACATCACACATAGAAATGTCGCCAATCTTGTGTGCCTGGCCCCTGGGAACCTGGGGGTAGAATCTGGCACTTGCGTTGGCTCCGTCCTCAACATAAGTTTTGACATGGGTGAGTTTCTCGTATCCAAGATGTTTCCAATTCTGACCCAACTCAGCGGCATGGGAAGTCTTTGTCTGTCTATGCAATGGAGGAACACTCGTTCTCCGAGGTTCCAATTGGGAGCCAACTCTCCAGCAGGTTCGTTACGGCAACATCACTCGATTGCCAGGCTCCGACTTACACGGAAATAGATTGATGTCCTCATCTGCACGCCAACAATCCTCTCCAAATACCATCCTACACAATATCCTAGGATAAAAACAGTGGCCACAGCCGGCGAACCAACTACAAGAAGGTGAGTACTCAACTGAGCATAGCTTCCGACAGTAACTGACCAGCGTAGTCTTGCCGATTTGTGGGCAAGTCACGGCACGTATTGGAATTGCTGCGGCCCTACCGAAACAACGATCGTGAATACCATGCATCAACATGTCGTTGGACAAGAATTGTCAATCGGCCGACCGACTCCCAATAACAGAGTATATATCCTCAACGGTCTAGGTGAACCTGTGCCGATGGGTGCCACGGGAGTGATGTGGGCAGGCGGCCGTGGAGTTTCCAGAGGCTATATCGGCCTTGATGAAAAGACGGCAGAAAGATACAAGCCAGATCCATTTGCCAATGACGGGTAAGGTATCTCACTTGCTTAGATTGTGCCAGAGCTGACAGTCCAGATCAACGATATACAATACTGGCGACCTTTGTCGCTGGAGAACCGATGGTTCAGTCGAGATTCTCGGCCGAGTCGACGATCAAGTCAAAGTAAAGGTACATTGAAAGTCCCTTGATACATTCGCCATGATCTGACCTCAATTCAGGGTTTCCGCGTGGAGCTAGACGGCATCTCAGCATCCCTGGCTTCGGCCCCAGGCGTGTCTCGGGCGGCAGCGCTGCTGATCGACGGAGAGATACATGGGTTTACCACCCCGCGCCGATGCGATGCAACCACCACCATCAAGCATGTACAGCAACACCAGCCCTACTATGCTGTTCCTACACACCTCCACCTCCTCGATGAATTACCCTCAACACCAAATGGCAAAGTCGACAAGGGACAACTCAAGGCCTTGGCCTTGGCGAAGCAGAGTGTTGCAACGCAACCATACGAGAAAGAGGAAGTCCAGGACAACCATCTCGAACTCAAGTCGCAATCATCCATGTCCTCTCTGTCGACTCTGACCGAGAAGATTGATCTTGAGCGCGGTCTGCCTGATAAGACGCTGGCACGACCCCTCAGAGGTCTAAGACATAGGATCTTCATCGCCTACCGCACCCTGTTCAGTCTCATAGGAGTACTAAACTTGGCAGCATTAATCTGCGTAGTCGCTCTGCAGCTCAAGGCAGAATGGCTTGGTATCATCACTGCCATCAACCTTGTGATCGCAGTACTTGTACGACAAGACGCTGTGATCAACATCCTCTATACCATCTTCTGCTCAGTACCAAAGCATTTGCCGCTCGGAATCAGGAAACGCTGTGCCAAGATATATCACCTGGGTGGTGTGCACTCAGGTGCGGGAGTCTGTGCCACGGCCTGGCTGGTTATCTCGACGGTACGTGGAACAATCTGCAATGCAGGTTTCTGCGAGGGTCACGCGATTGGTTCCTTGGCAACACAGGTCGTATCGTGGGTTCTATGCGGGCTGCTATGTTCCATGGTGGCTACTGCATGGCCCTCTTTCCGGAAGCAGTACCACAACTTCTTTGAGCGTTTCCATCGTTTTGCCGGTTGGACATCATTGGGTCTATTTTGGGCTCGGACAATTCTGGCGATCAACGACTCCCGGCCTCAACACCAAGGACTAGGGATCGCCGCCGTTAAGACTCCAGACTTCTGGCTCTTGGTGGTGGCCACACTCAGCATTGCCTCTTCTTGGTTTTTCCTGCGCAAGGTTCCAGTCGAGGCCGAAGTGCTTTCTGATCATGCAGTCCGCCTGCATTTCGACTATACCGTTCCCGTGAATGGTACTTTCACCCGCTTATCACGACGACCCTTGATCGAATGGCACTCTTTTGCAACCATCCCCAACCTGCAGCCTAATCAACATGCTAAAGGTTACTCGTTGGTTGTCTCCAATGCCGGCGACTGGACTCGTTCTTGTATACAAAACCCTCCCAGCTCCATCTGGGTACGTGGTGTGCCAACATGTGGTGTGATGCGTATCGCAACGCTCTTCAACAGAATCGTCGTTATCGCCACAGGATCCGGGATTGGACCGCTACTAGGCCACATTGTCCATCAGACATGCCCTACACAGCTGATTTGGTCTACATCACGACCAGAAGAGTCGTTCGGCAAAGAGCTTGTTGGCCAGGTTCGAGACGCTATTCCGGACGCGGTGATCTGGAATACGAAGACTCAAGGCCGACCAGACCTTGTGCGAATGGGCTATAACCTAGCCAAGAGCTTCGACGCCGAAGCTGTGATAATAATAGCCAACGAGAAGATCACCAAAAAGGTCGTGTACGGCCTGGAGACGCGCGGCGTGCCAGCGTATGGTGCCATCTGGGACAGCTAAGCTGTCCAACCATACATTCTCTTTTCACCAACATATTTCCTTGAACATGTTTCTCCAACTTTGTACACTCTCATACCTTGTCTTTCCTATTGGTCTTTTTTGAGCGTCTGACTAGACCGCATATTGAATCCCAGTCCATTGTTTCTGGAGTTGTCGTTTCTTTCAATCTCTTTCTTGGTTCAAGTTGTATGCGATATTGTGTTTATTTCTCTCATGATGTATAAGTTTATTGGCAAGCTCAAAAGCTGAAGAAGGAAGGGTGACATCATGGTGCTTGAAGATTAGATATGCAAGTATGCAGTAAAACGGTGCATCGACCTAGCTTTACCCAAAATGGCAATTTTAAGATCTACGTAATTGGCTCTTTGCTCAACAACTTCAAGATTTGCCGTGTCAAGAACCATGTTGTCTTTGCGAAGGATAGCTACGACTGCAGTCCCGGCGGTAGGGCGCCAGTGTCCACGGGCTGCAGTCCCAAGCACGAGATTTTACTCACAGGCTGTTGGGCCATTGGTGTACGATTTACATGAACCCTCACAACCAAAATATGACAAGAGGAACTCTCCAATTTTGTTCCTCCACGGACTTTTCGGATCAAAGAAGAATAACCGAGCGATCAGCAAGTTAGTTGGTCTTTTTCGTGACGTGTGTGAGTTTGAACTAATGTCAAAATAGAGCTTTGGCCCGAGACTTAGGAAGATATGTTTATGCTTTGGTAAGTAAACGGTCAACGGTTCTGAAAGGTTGACAGAAACTCAATATCAGTTCACAGGATCTCAGAAACCATGGCGAGTCACCTCATAGCAACAAGCACGATTACAATGCCATGGCCCAGGATGTAGCTGAGTTCATCGAGGGTCATGGTTTGAAGGAAACAACTCTCATTGGACACTCAATGTGAGTAGCCATTGCTTCACAACAGCCAACATGAACAAACTGACAAACCTAGGGGAGCCAAAACTTCAATGGCCCTTGCACTCCGCTCTCCTGAACTTGTGGCCGATATCGTTTCCGTCGACAATGCCCCCGTGGACGTCTCACTCAGCAGGGACTTCCCCAAGTACGTCCGCGCCATGAAGAAGATCCAGGAAGCCGGTGTCACACGCCAAGCTGAAGCCGACAAGATCCTCAGCGAGTATGAGGAGTCTCTTCCCATCCGACAATTCCTGCTGGGCAACATGTACCTCCCAGAGGGCGAAAAGGTGCGCAAGTTCCGCATCCCTCTCGACACTCTTGGCAAGGCACTGGACAACCTCGGAGATTTTCCTTACAAGAACCCCAACGAGGTCCGGTTTGTGAAACCTGCTCTGTTTGTTCGAGGTACCCAGAGCAAGTATGTTCCCGATGACGTGCTGCCTCTGATTGGCCAATTCTTCCCCAAGTTTCGACTTGTTGATATTGATGCTGGTCACTGGCTCATTTCAGAGCAACCTGAAGCGTTCAGACAAGGTGAGTGCCCGATTGATGCAGCCAAAGTTTTGGATGTACACTGACAAGCGATAGCTGTCGTCGAGTTTCTTCAAAAGTCCGAGTGACGCAGGTGAATTGAGTATCATGGGTCTTGTCCCACTAATTGGGGCGAATCTGGACAATATTTTCATCGCCTCTGTAATATTACCCTACGTTCAATAGATAGAGATACACTGAAGATTAGAATTCATGCGCACAATGCTGAGCACCTTGGAGTGAAACGGTGATGATGGGTAGATAGGGTATCAGCTTAGAATTCTTCTACGGCTCTCATCTCAAAACGTCCCCCTCACGACCAGCGTCAAGTCACCACAGCATCCAATGTCGGAGCAAATAAGTCACACGTCATAATTCATTCGCCGTGTTGACCGAACGTTTTTTTTTACCATTCATTCAAAGGAACATGAACCCAATCCCCGGAGCTCCTCTTGTGATGCTACGCCATTTGCGATGACCGAAACAATTTGGTAGGGATGAGTTTATTAGCCGCGAGGCCCCTATTGCCTACCCCGCGCCAACCTGCCAAAATAATCCTTTTAAACCTCCTCAAGGACACGCTCCTTGAACTCCCGCTCAACCTTCTGGCCCTGGTCATCAGTGCCAGACTCGCCGTGCAGAGCCATCAAGGCACCAAGATCGAACTTGGGGGCCTTGAGCAGCTTAACCTTTCGGATGTGGACCTGGGAGATGTTAGACCTACGAATTCATGCGTGACCGAGAACCAAGATTCTACTCACGTTCTGGAGAGGGTAGATGCCCTGGGTGGACTTCTCAATCTCGCGGCCAATGACCTCGGGAATGAGCTTGGAGGTAAGCTGGGTGAGGGTGCAGCTTGAGGCCTCACGCTGGATGATGTCGGTCATCTTGCGTCGGATGGCACGAATCTGAGAAGAGGCAGCGTAGGTGGTCTTCTTGACCTGGTTGGGTCGTCGCTTGGTGAAAGCGATGGCGAAGAGGCGGATGAGGTAGTCGTCGGTAGTCTTGACAGTGACGTTGGCCTCAATGAGGGTCTGCCACTTTCGCACCAGGGATCGGAGCTTGTCGGAGGTGAAGTCGAGGCCGTGGAAAGCAGTCAAGCAGTTCTTGCCCTGGACCTCGTCGACGCGGAGGCGGACCTTGCGGAAAGAGTGGTCCTCATCCTTCTGGAGATCGGCGAGGGAGACCTCGAGGATACGGCCCTTGAGAGCGTCGTTGGCGTTCTTGAGACCGGTGGTTCGGTTCACGAGGGTCTTGCCGACACTGCAAAATTTGTTAATCTCCAATGTCCCACAAACTTTTTTTTGCAGATTCGTCGCGCGGTCGTCACTCACTCTCGAACGTTGAAGGGGTTAGGGGCCTTGAGAATCGAGTTAGCCGGGAATTGTAGTTGTGCGCGTTTGGAGATAACCAACCTTGATTGAGTACCAGTCCTTTCGGGAGAAGGGGTCGACCGTCTTCTTCTTGAGGCCCTTCTTGCCCTTGGAGAGTCTCTTGTTCCTGAAATAACGCGTAAGCCCATTGTATTCATCGTATGCCTGTCGTCGTGGGTGATGCTCACTTTCCAACCGCCATGTTTGCTGGCTTGTGTATGAACCGTTGGAGAGATGGTACTGGTGAGAGAGTGGTTGGAGGGGCGAAATAATTTCAATCTTTGTGTGCAGCAGCTTAAGCGACAGGTTGATCGAAAAGTGCGGTCCAATTGTTCTTCCGGCGCTAAAGCTTTGTGGGATCGAAAAATAATGGATCGGAGGGCAAGAGCGACCACATCACGTGCCTTCTGTTTTGAAATTTCTCTGCTAAAGAGTACGTACCTCGCGAACTTGAAGCTAGCCACAGTCCAGCCAGCCACAGCCACAATGGTCTCTTTTCAAGCCTGAGCTTAGCGCCTTGACCCGCGTGGACGACTCTTGTCCTACCAAGACGCAAGACTCTCTGCTTACGATGGATGCTGTCATTTGAGTCTCTATTCAAGGAACCGACGACCAAGGTATGTCATAGTTTATGCTGTTTCATCACATTTGACAAACAAGATTGATTACAACTTATGAATTATGATATGTTTCAGGGAGATGTATATAGTTTTTATCTGTTTTCTTTGTGTTTTAGCAGACCTCGTCCAACTGGATCTAAGCGTCTTGCTTTCTGTCAATGAATGGGTCCTGAGATTCACCCAGACCGTCTGTTCTGCTCTGTTGTGCTGTGTTGTTGGTCCCCCTTGCACTCCACCTTTCTAAAAAGGTGCAGCTATTCCTCATTCATTCATCGTGTACAGCTCGATTTCAGCGTCCGCTTCTCTTCTACCAAGAAGCCTTTCACCTCTATCCACCCAGCCTAGTCCTAGGGCGCAATCAGCCAGCCACAACCTCGTTTATTCCAGTCTCATATTGGTAAAAAAGACCTGGTGTGTTTGTGGTTGTGGTTGTTGGTCGACAATGCGTTTCTGATCCCTTGGTTCCAATGGCCTCGCTGTCACTTGCTCCTCTTTGAGCCGTCAGCGAAGGCCTCTACCATCTCGTTGATGAGTGTGGCCGTGCTGGATGAGCGACTGTTCCGTTGATGTCGCTCTGTCGTAGTCATGTTGTTTTCCCTTTTCGGTTTGAGGCCATTTGGTTCCTCTCACCCTCTTTCCCGTCACATCTCAATCATCTGAGTCCTTGTTCATATCCTCTTGGTTGTCCCTGTTCCACTCCTCAAAGCTAGGAAAGCTAAAGTAATAACCTTGATTGATGTTAGTGTTGACTGGTATAAGGACGTTGATGTGAGACGTACCAGATGGTGAGTCGACCATCACGACGGATTGACTTCCTGGACTGCTGGAGGGCGAGTGCTCTCGGTCATCACGGCAGATTGAGATGGGCTCGGCGTGGCGTGAGACCGAACCTGGAGTCGTGGCTTCTGAAGATGGCGAGTAGACGGCAACACGGTTGAGGAGATCAGTTGCTCTGTGTGGTGAGCCAGGGCCAGCAAATGAACCGCTGATGGCATTTGAAGCAGTGATTGAAGGTTCCGTGGCACTAGAGCGAAGAAGTCGTGGTCTTGTGCGATTGGAGTTTGTGTTTGAGGATGATGATGACGACGAGTCTCGCCTGTGAGCTCTCACCGAACTTCGACTGTCTCGTATGTAAGAGGCCATTGTGTGCATATGTCAGATGTGTTGATTGTTGTTGAAGGCTGGAGGTTGCATGTGCATTAAAATAGGTAAGTTGGAAAGACGGTTTCACATTTGAGAAGAATAACAAGAAAGTGAAAGAGACTTTGGATGGACGGGAAGAGCTGGCAGTAGCTCGAATATGTATACATGGAGACAAATATCAAGGCATCCACATCCACATCCACACACATCAACCACCTCCTCGTGTACATGTGGTAGAGCTACCACTGCTGCGGTTAGACCAGGCGGGTAAGCTAAGTAAGGTAATAAACAAGGGTGCCATTGCATTGGGGACGTGTGCGTGCGTGTGAGCGTTGCGCTGCGCTGCACAGCAGGTCATCATTACAGTAACAACAAGCTTTGGAGTTGGCCGACATGGGTACCGTTCCCTTCTCCGAGCCTCTCTCTCTGTCTCTCGGTACAGGTACAGGTACCATCACGATCTTCTCCATGTACTCGGCCATTCAGAGATTAGACTCTTTGGCATCACGCAACACGACGGGGTCCTCTATTCGTGTTCGAAGAAAAAAAGGCCGCAGTCCAGGTACCAGACCAGGCTCATACTGCTCAGAATAGTCAAAGAGTCTTTTTTTTTCCCTCGTCTGCTTGCCACTTGTCGGCTCATCGCTGCATTTGGTTGCCAACACCAACCCATCTTGCACTCGCTGGTCTGGGTGCGTGTCTCCTGGTGTATGGCCCAGAATCCTGGTCTTTGTCCCCCTGGGCCTTTTTGGCTAGGGACGCGGGCCCCGGGGACTGCAGGCGGGTTTCCCGTGCAGGCATATGCGGGGGTCTCCAAGCCTGTAAAGCCAGTGATGACTCGCCCTGCTGAGGCACTCGTCTATTCGGGCCCGGCGGAACGTGGATAGTGGAATGGGTAGACCTAGGGCACTTCTGGCGGTAAGGCAAAATTATGGGAATACCTGTCGGAGCTACTGTCGCATTGCTACCCAACAGGTCATCAAGATGCATACCGCTTAGGAAGACGAAACGTTCTATTGTTTGTTTTCCTTGGAATGGGATCAATCTTGAGGATTGGCATTGCATCCGAGTGAACTCTATATGTCATGTACTGCATCGATCGAAAAAAAGCACAAGACAAGACGCGTCCACGACACTATACTCGCTTGGATGGATACTAACGATAGTACCAGTAGAACGAAAAGCCATCCGTTAGGCCAAGGCTCTCTAGCGTATCGGTCTCCTTCTTGATGGTGTATAGTCGAGAGCGTTTCTGGATGGGGGCTGGATCTTTGTATGTGGGTTGGGTTACAAGCAAAGCAGAATGATGGGTGTGTGAATGCGATGCTATTTCGAAAGGGAAAGTTATTCACCATGATGAGCATTCTGTTAGACAATCATTACCTTGACCATCACCTATGGATGACCTCGTACCTGATGAACATGAATGAACCATGGCCGAGATCATTGATGTACACGTTAATCACCCGGGGCAATTAATCCACCCAGTTCGGCAATAAACATGGCACAACATGGAACTGCATGGCATGGCATGGCATCGGACGGCATGGCAGCATGGCATAGGTGGTAGCATGGTGATGGATCGTTGATCGTCTTCTCGGGCCGGGGTAAGCAACCTTCGGAGGTTTTCTTTTGATAGCAACAGAGTCAATTCAAGGCGACTGACTGAGTTATCTAGGTACCTTGGGTATTAATCTCTTCCGCCTCGTGCATCAATGACTTACCCCTTGCCCTTGGCTCATGCTCATGCTCGTGACCACAAGACGTGCTCTACACGTGTACAGACATAGCCAGAAGCGACTCCATTCTCACACATACAATCATACATGGGTGCCTTATCATACTGTACCGTACAAGGTTAAGGTTGTATCGGTGTTCGGTAAATGCTCCTTTAGTCGGATACGGTGTCGGAGTCAGCAAAATATGCAATTACAACTCATTAAAAACGGTCCTTGTGACTTGTGACCGCCTCACCGATTCCATCGGGAACAACCTACGGACGGGCCTCGAAAGGTGGATATTCAATTCATTCGGTACTAAATTATCTATCCTGGCCCATCATCCCCTTACTAAAACGTTAGTAGGGTATGGTAGGCTTCCATTCCGAGTTCCACTCACTCACTCAGTATCAGTCAGTCACTCTACATCTTCAAATCTCGCAACCTCTACACCATGCACAACCTTGCTAGCAACTCCCTCCCGGACGCGCTTAAACTCGAAAACGGATGCTCCCAACGGTCTTCTCTCACTGTATCCAACCCATCAACTGCCCTGTATGACCTGCCACCTTGACCGGGTACCTCGTTCGGGACACTCAGCCCCAACACCACGGATGAATGGTACCGTGGCATCGTCGCCATCGTATGGATTCTGAGCAATCATCATCCTTCCCCCACGCAAAACGGCTCAGACCGACCTGCAGTAACCTGCAAACTTGGGAAGCTGCTGACGCACCCCGCGACCCTCGACGCCACGTCCCTACTGTACATACAGCTTGAGCCCGTATCTATCCGGTTTCGTTTAATGATCGAAGCTGCCACAGTCATCAGTCTTTGCACAGCTCTTGGATTGGATAGTACTCACTCTTCCCATATTCTTCCCTGGACCGCCTGGAGCTCTTCGGTAGTCATACGTTTACCAGTGGTGAAGTAGCCTTCATCTCCGTTAGTTTCCGCCTTGATTTATGAAGCTGGGGCCTCATCTCGTCTGCCGGCTCTCATTTCACTTACCAGCTGTAATCTTGGCGTCAATTTCGACTCGCGAGTCAGCGGGTATCAGTTCTTCTGGAAGCTCGACCCTCTCATGAATGGGGATTCTGAAATCATGTTAATCTCGCATCAAAAATTAACAAGACCGACTCATCATCAGCTTACCCTTGTCCGACAATCGCATCATGCTTCATGCTAGAGATATGTCAGCTGTCAATTCCTCGACGTGTTCGACTCTGAGGCGCTCACTTGCTCATGCTAAGCATCCTGTCAATCTTCTTGATGCCCAGCCAGTGCAGGATATCCGGCATGAGAGCCTGGAATCGCATGTCCTTGACACCTGCAATGTTCTCGGTCCTCTTGAAATAGTCCGATGCGCGATCGGCTCCGCGTTTACGGGCGTTGTAGACCACTACCCCAGAATTAGTACCCCAGATCTGCACGACGGCTGCTTCTCCGAATCTTGAGGGATTTCATCCTTACAATACTGAGGGAAATAGTTAGATTTGCTTCTGTGAGTTGTGATCAGGCAATGCTTACCTTGGTGACCTCTCCCAACGCACGGCCTTCCTTTCTGAAGTAGATGACAACACCACTGCCACCATTCTGAGCCTCTTTGACCGCTTCCTCGATACCAAAGATCAAGTAAGGACGGCAAGTACAGATATCAGATCCGAACACGTCGCTACCGTTGCACTGCAGAACACGGTGAGTTTGGGGTCTTACACAAAGTCGGGGAATCATACCTCGTCGTGGATACGCAGAGACAGTCGAACCGATTCATCCGACATCTTGGCAGGATCTCCGAAGCAGTACACAGTGAGACCACCAATCGGAGGAAGGAATACTTTGATGTCCCCGCGGGTGATAAGCTTGAACGTGTTAGCAGTGAGATCTTCCAAAGCAAAGCTTACTTACCTCTGGGTAGCTTCCTCCTGTGTGCTCAAACAGGGAACGTCGTAGGGTGGCCTCGTCTTTGTCGTATTAGTTGTTATACAACATCAAGCAATGGCTGTATACTTACCAATACCGAATCGCTCTGCCACACCGGGGAGGTACCAGACCTAGAGTGTGAGGTTAGACTTGCTTTGACTGCTTGTGTTTGGGACATACCGGTTCAACGGCAAACTTGGTGACAGCCAGTTCACCCTGATCGTTCAGGCAAACCTTGCCATCGGGGACACTGCAAAGGTCAGCTTGTATTACGAAGATAACGGAAGAGCGAACTCACAGTCGACCGGCCTTGACACTTTCGGCAAGTTCAGGAAGCTGATAAGAAGGTTAGCGACAGCTGTTTCCTCTTCCGATCGATCCAAACACCGACCTTCATATGAGCCTTGGTGATGGCAATGGTTGGTCGAATATCGACTAATGAAGTCGTCAGTAACACCGTTTTATCAATTGGTATCACAATCCATACCGTTGTCCTTCTCGATGGTGTCCTTGAACAGCCAAGGAGCGAGATGTCCCCAGGGGTCCATGGCAACAATCTTCTTGGAGTCTCCCCATTGAGGGAAAGGGCCAATGTTCGCGGCCGGCTCGGTATTGGTGAAGTCGGGACTGTCAATACGCCGTTATTTATGGATTTTTGCGTTGTTGCGTTGGGATCAAAAGACATACCGGTGGTCGGCGTTCAATTCGTTGCTGGCAACGGCGAGGGCATAGTAGATCGAGTACGAACCACCACTAACAACCTGTTTAGCATGGTTTCTCTCGGAATGAACGGTGATTGAGAACTCACTGGGCTAGATAACACGGTTAACGAATGGATACATCAGTAAACAGGGGACATAACAAACCTCCAACGGCTAAACGCAAGTTACGAAAGTCAGTAACACTAACTAACACACATGCATCACAGACACAGACGGACGGACGGACGAACCATTACGACGTCGAATAGTAGAAGCAGCCCTTGAAACTACGATAGGGCCACGCTTAACGGGGTCTTGATTTCCCCAGTCCATGGGTAAAGGATTAATTCCAATCTGCTTGGGGTAAGTCCTAGTTACCTTGTGTGAGCGAACGGTGTTAGTGGAGCTTGTATACAGGAATCCTCACGTCAGAATAATACGCGAAGTGTATCCTTGCTGCTGGCGCTGGTCGGGCGAGGGAAGTGCAGGAGCTTTCAATTTATCTCCAGAGGCAGCAGGGACTTCTACTGAAGGTGTTCCGCCCTCATTGTCATCTTCACGAGAACCTGGCTCAAGGATGGTGTTCTTGCCAACATCTCCACCTGATTCCTCGATCGATTTACCAGATAGCGATTCGACCGCGTTCACTAGAAGAGCCTGCGTGCGCTGAATCTCCTGTAGAGCCTCCAGCATACTGGATTGCTGATCGTCAGATGCCATGATGGTGGCAGTAGACGTAAACGTGGGGTTGAGTGCGGATCTCTAGGGTAGACTGGTTGCGAATGTGAGGTTGCGATATGTGTCGCAGAGAAGTCGATATGATACAGTTTCAAGTAAAAGAAGGAGAAAGAGAGTTTACTTTTCAGAAAGAAAGGAAAGGAAAAACATGGAGAGTGACCGGAACAACAGGAAGAGCGGTCGGAGAAAGCCATCCAAGGTGACACATGCCTTACAACGGGGTCGTCATGAGCAGGGGGAGCTGTAGCACATCCCCAACCTTCCAAGAGCTTCAGATAGTACATAAATTGTAGATATCAAGATCCGTATCACCCTAACTGTGCTACTCTAACCTCATGTGTGACCTTCCAAGGTCAGCAGATCAACGGGAGAGGCCCCTATACAATCATAACTTTCATGTATCGGGCCTCCGTAATCAGGCTAGCTACAGTAAATGAGAGAAGAGAGGGGAGCTCTCCCAACAAGGAACAGTCATGATAGCCAGTGACTGACCTGCGTCTATCAGCATGGAATTGACCGTTGACGATTCGCTGATAAGAGACCACATGATAAGACGGCACGTTCAAAAGTCTCAAGCCTCAATCCCCACCGGCCTAGGTCATAGCCAGGCCAGGCCGCCAGGGGAGCTACCCCGCCAAATCGGAAGAGAGTCCCCCTGCGTTTAGTCGTCAGCGCCCAAACTCAAGGTGAAGGTCAAGGTGACGGTGTAGAAGGTGATGGTCAGGAGAATATGCAAGGAAGATGCTTCCGTTTTTAGTGAGGTTGTGTTGTCCATTCAGTTATTGGTTGGTTTGGTTGTTTGCTCATGTCTCTGACTGTTTTCTCGTTTACACTTGTCTTTGTCCACTCACACCCACCAACAAGCACCCATTGATGCGGCATCAGCGAACAAACGACCCTCCAAACTCACCCATGCAATCCTGATACCAATGCTCTTGCAAGCTTATCCTCTTATCCTCATCCTTCTAGTCTGATAAGGATCGCCTTCGCGGAATCCGGCGTTTGTGTATAGAATCACGGAGGTCGCCGGGAGGCGGGGGCGGGGCAATCGGGCTTGTCTCCCCGCTTGATGCATGCACTAGAAACACGCCTACCGTCCAACTGCCGCACTAACAGAGCCCAAACCCGCTTGTTAGACAGTGAGCACGTGCAATGCGACAAACAGAGTTTCTCTCTGCTGATAAGATAACGAGCGGACCAAACGAAACATCCCTGACTGGCGCCTTGTTTCCTCCACTGGGACTGACTGACTGCCTGCCCTGGGCTGCCTAGTCTAGCCCAGCCCAAAGCTTGACATCAGCAAATTCACTATCATCTTTTTTCCCCGTTTCGCGTTTCTTCTCGTTCCGGTCGCGCACGAATCGCGGAACTCACAGACATCATGGGCAAGCGCAAGTCCTCAAGCAAGCCCATGGGGCCCAAGAAGGTCCGTCTTCCAAGCCGATCCCTTGTCATTTCATTTTCGTATACTCTCTCTCTCTGTCTTAGGGGGGCTCTGGGGCTTTTGCGCTCACACTAATCCAGAAAGATCCCCTTCCTACCACTTTCGCATGCCTCTTCTGTAACCACGAAAACTCGGTCTCGGTCAAGCTCGACAAGAAGGCTGGTGTCGGACAACTCGACTGCCGTGTCTGCGGACAAAAATTCCAATGCGCAGTCAACTGTACGGCTTCTACGGACTCTCCTTTGCCTCCGGCGCATCGGATGCTAACTTTGCGACAGATCTGTCTGCGGCGGTTGACGTTTACGGTGAATGGGTTGACGCAGCAGGTCAGTCTATAATATTCCTTCTACAACTCTATCGGCAATCTCTAACAACTTGTAGATGCCGTCGCCAAGGAGGATAACGCGGAGCCTGGCTACACTGGCACATCTCAAGCAGGAGCTGGACGAGGTAACCGAACGGCGGTCGATGAAGACGACGACGAGCACTACGGAGAGGATGACTATTAATCGTTTCTTTTATGCGCCTTGTATCAATACCAAGACTTGTTACACCCATGACTCGACGACCCCTTTCTATGCGCCTACGACTCGGGATATATAACCTTTGCGATGATTCCTTCAGATGGTGTAAAATCTGTCTCCAAAGTCTCCCAGGCCAGGAACGATATAACTGTTGATTGGTCAGCACATCATGTGTTATCGGAGTTGAGCTTCCATACTTCTTCTCGTCGAGACCCTAGAGATGCCCGGTTAGCCAATACGTTGCGACAGTATATGCAGGCGGTGTGACAAACCTCATCGATGAAAGCCGTCACGACCCTCAAGCGGGGGAACTTGGCAGAGAAGTTCTTGACACCCTCGGGGCTTGCAATCAAGTTGAGGAAGAGGATGTGCTCCTCAGGGACACCCCTGGCCTTGAGAACTTGAACCGCCATGGTAGCAGAGCCACCTGTATATCAGCGTTAGACGAATTGCGACACGAAAGACATGTGAAATGGGACATCGTCATACCAGTAGCAAACATAGGATCCAAAAGAAGCACCCATCGGTCAGCAATATCCTCGGGCAGCTTATCGTAGAACAGTTTGGGCTGGGCCGTCTCCTCATCACGCTGGATCAAGATCTTTCCAATGCGAACAGAGCGGCAGCAGTCACGGAGACCCTGCTCCATAGCCTCACCAGCTCTCATGATGGACACTCCGCAGATCTTGCCCTGGAACATGAGACCATTGTAGTTTCGGCCAATGGGTGTAGTGACAGTGTGTTCAATGACAGGCAAGTGGTTGAGACCCTCCTCCACTAGCAATCGAATGATTCGGTTGGAGTAGAAGATGAAGTCTGCTCTCTCGGTCTCCTTGCTACGAATTTTCCTGAACAATTCTCAGCTCCGAGGCATGGTAGGCCCAATTAGGGAAGTGGACATACGACAGTAGGGCAATGAGCTGAGGGGTCTGCGACAGAACATGGACATTGTCTAGCTTGACATCGACAGAGACGGTGGCGCTGGGCTTCTGCTGGTGAGCGCGGTATGAGGGACCGACGGGTGTCGTGTGAGTATCTTGAGTCTTGTCCGCCATGTTAGCTGTTGTTAGTGTTTGCAGTGGTGTAAGAAGTCGGCGGTGGTGATGGCGGGGTTGAAGTAGAGCTCAGATATTTCCAAGTGGGTGAGCGGAGTACAATCGTTAGGTATAACCTAGAAAGAGTTTGAAGAGCAAAATAAAAGAGGTTCAGGGTATAAGATTGAATGAATCGAAAGGCGGAGAGAAGAAGCTCGGCATCAACTAGAGCTCTCGAGGATAAGACAAGTCGGTAGCCCTGCATTGCATTGCATTTGCCCGCTTGCTATACTCAATCGTATTGGTCTCGCATATGCTTAAAACGGGGATGCAAATCGGCCGGCGGCGCCTGGACCCTACCCTACGATACTCGCAAAATCAGAGAAGACCGCACTCACTCTAGTCACTGCATGGCAGTGGCATGGGCATGTCCATGGCATGGATTCATGATAGCGACAGTGGAGATGAGAATGCATATCCAATGGTATAGATAATGAGATGGGATGAGAACAATGGAAGTGGCGCTTTGGAAGTCATTTAACAAAAAGGCACTCTATGCAATTAATTTATTCAATCCGCTCTTTGTTACTAACATTCTTCTATTGAACGATGTGCTTCTGTTTTTAGCTCTCTCTACCTATTGACAGCCGAAATGTGACCCAAGCTTTTATGCTAAACACGGCACTGCAGCCGTAGCCTTTTCAAGGTTTCATTGATCAATCAATCCATCCGCCCTGACAGTGATTCAATGTGAATGATCATCAGTTTTATTATTCATCTATTGTGCTCGCTTTCCTTGCATCAGAGTCCCTTTTATCATCCTTTCCTTTGCAACTGCATCCGTGACAACGCGCGCCGCATTCTTTGTCGTTTTATTTGCCGGCACGAACCTGCCACTAACGGGTGCGACTTACCTCCGCAACCATTTGCATCGTCGTCTTAGCTTATCCCTTCAACTTCCAACAACCTCATTATATGATATAAACCCACCACTCCAACCGTCGCGTTCTGCTCTCAGAACTTGAGCATACTATGGCGTCACGAAACAGCTCGACAGCGTCAGTCCCGCGCAAGGTGATGACGTATGGCAAACCTGTGCGCAAGCGCTTCATGCGCGACGCGATGCCATTCAAACCCACCGAACCGTTCACTGCTCCGAGCAGCCGCCCTGACTCTGCCGCATCCATCGCGATGCCATCGAAACCGTCGCTACCGAGATCGACATCGGAGCCAACTCCAAAACACGTTGTTGAGAAGCGACCCGACGAACCCGCTCGCGCGAAAGCCGGAGATGATCAGAAACCAAAATCACGCGATGCGACCGACACGAGAAAGAGAAAGCGCCCGGAAGCTGCGCCTTCCGAAACAATCGAAGAGGAAACAAAATCTACTGCTCTAAAACAAATAAAGCCTGCTACACTACCAAAGCGACATGTAGCCGGTGCCTCTGAAAATGAGACCAAAGCCAGCGCCCCTCCTCTTCCACCAGTTTCAAAGAAGAGTCCAAAAAGTTCGAATGTTCGATCTAGACCCCTCCCTCGAAGCAAGTCCGATATCCCAACCTCAAAACTCAGCTCAGGTGCGGCGCAATCAACGGCCAAGGATCACGATGACGAATCACCGAGACCGAAGAAACGACGGCCGCGATTGATTGACAGGCTGGCGGCTCAGCGGGCAGAAAGTTCAGAGTCGGAAGACTCGGCTTCTGAAGAAGAGAAGCCCAAGTCACAATTGGTCCCGAATAGCGGCACAGATAGTGGAGGTGCGACTCCCTCTCAGCAATCACAGAGCAATTCCCAGAATCATTCTCAAGACTCTACGACCCGACCCCGAAATCGCACTACGGTTGCACTCAAAAGCCGAAGAGTCAAGTATACGTACGGCCAATCTCGATCCATCCTGACCGAGTCTTCCTCGAAGCTCAGTGAGCCCAGCCAGGAAATGCCCATGAGTGTGGAAGAAGAGCTGGATGCGCTTCTCGCTGCACCTCCAGAGCCCGCCAACGCCGACCCATTTGCCATGGATGACTCCGATGATCTCGACGGAGATGGAGGGGCTCGACCTGCCATCAAGAGTGTTCATGAACTACGGAGAGCTGGAGCCAACAATCGCTTTGCCGATGAGATGGAGGACCTGCTTGCTCGGATAGGAACCCCTGGAAGCTCTTCATCTTCATTGAGGAGAGGGGCACTCCTGGAGCTTTTTCAGAAGCTGCAAAACAAGGATTTCATCAGTCAATTCCGAGATCACGCAACTCGCGACAAAGTCGCAGCAAACATTGGTCACGAGCAGGATATCATTTGCGGATTCGCCTTGTCGGCCGTTCTCGTTTCGTTTCTCCATTTCAGCCCTGCAGCCCACCTCTTGCAACAGCTTGTTGATGATGGACTGGGACAAATGCTCTCTGTCCTTTTACGGGTGCCTGAAGATATTGATGAACTCGCCTCAGGGAAACTGAGGCTCGCCAAGACCACAAGAGCCTCTCTGAGCGAGGTCAAGACAACGCTCAAGAAGATGAATATTTGGAATGGCCGTCGCCCTGAGAAACTTTCGCCTCAAGTTCTTGCCCTTCAACTGCTGAACGTTGTATGCCAACGAATCGATGCGATGCACTCATCAGTAGTTGTCAAGGACGTGGAGAACGATCTTGAGACTGTCCTATCCCATTGTACGAGTACAAACCCTAAAACCGATGCCGCGACTGCTCTTATTATATCAATACTGGAGTCACAGTCAGGTCTGGCGATGAACGATGCCAATGAAGTCACATGGATTGCGCAGCAATCGCATCAAGTGGCGCGTATTCTCGAGAACAACCTCCAGCAATGGCCAGATAAACTCGGAAACATCGAAGTAGCCATTCTCAAGCTCTCGATCAATATGTCCAACACCACACACGGCGCGGCGGCCTTTAGTGGTGTGATCCTGTTGTCGAGTCTTTCGAAGTGCATTCTCTCTGGCTTCAAATCAGCCCTGGACGCTATGAGCAACCGACGTCTGAAGGAGGAGACTTATGATGGGCTCCTTCTAGTGCTCGGTATGACGATCAATATACTAGAACACTGTGCTCCCGCCCGCGAGAACATCAAGGGGGCGCAACTGAATGGCCTGGTGACAGTGTACTTACAGAACCAGGCCTTGATGCTAGAGGTAGGCTTGCTCGTTGACGATGACAGATCTGAAACTGACAATGATGTTATAGGCCGACTCTGTAGAGAAATCGAAGCTGAGCGTGGCATTTGGCTACCTTTCCGTCTTGCTAGGCTACTTGTCTCTGGAAGATGCAGCCCGGAAACGACTGAAGGAGCAAGCGGGAAGCGAGGGACTCCCAGGTCTGATTGGATCGATCAAGGAATTCATCGGAATGTATAGATCAGTGGACAACAAGGTGACGGAGCTGGAGGGGCTCGTCAACGAATTACAACGACTGCGACGACAATAGTTGATTATATACGCATGGACATGACTTGAGCTAGGGAATGTTTTTGGGACAATGTTCTGAGTATGACTCCCTTTTCTTTTTTCTTTACTTTGTATGACGGATGGACTACAGCCACTTCTGAGCATATCTGCTAGCGTGAGAGTGTATAGATGAGAAGAAGAATCGATACCAGGTCACTAGAAGGGCCATATTTGCTGATACTGACTGATACTGGCTTTGGGATTCGTTCATACTTGAGTGATAAATGCATGATCTGAGGCTCTTGTTGAAATTATTCCCGGTGTGATTTAGTTGGTTATGCATCAAATGAGGAAGACTAGGAACCAACCCTGCAAGTTCACGCGTCACTTATTACAGGGGAGAGGCAGCACAGTTACTATCTTTATCGGGCTGTATGATGCAAATGGAAGGGAGGGGGAGGGGCTCCCGTTCTTGGAGGG